TCTGTAGCTTATATTTCTGTTTTCTTGGTAGTATCTTCTGCCAAGTAAAAGTTGTTATGTTTGATGGAGACCAGCTTTTGACCTTTTTCCTTACTGTGACATTCTTTGGGTGTCATAGCTAAGAACTCCCTGCCTAACCCAAAGTTGCAAAGATTGTTCTCCTGTGTTTTCTTCTGAAAGTTTTACAAGTTTGTATTTACTTGGATCTATGATCCATTTTCAGTTTTTAAAGTAAGTTCTGAGTTCTAGGTTACTTTTCTTTTTTTTGCATATGGATATCTAGTCATTCCAGGACCACTTGTTAAAGACCGTCATTTCTCCACATTATACAGTTTTTATTTTAAAAGAAAGAATGTGATTCTGTCTAGCATGAGAACTCAAACATCTTCTATCATGAAAGGAGAAAATTCCTTGGACCCACTGGCTCAGGGGTGGCTGAGAGAGAGTCCCCTTTGCTCCGAACAGACAATATTTGTTTTACTAGCAGTGTCATAAAATCAAACATAATTTATACTCCATTGCTGGGATTTCTAGGTTGTTGAGGGTTTTTGTTTGTTTGGCCCAGCTTTTAGAAGAAATTTTAACCATTTATGGGCACAAAAATTCTTTTTTTGACAAATTGGATGTATACTAAAACTTAACAATGAGAACAAAACTGAAGTTTGTTTAGTCTAACTTTTCCTTTTTTGAATTAGAAAAATAATACATGCTTAACGTAAAATCTAAATACAGGTGACCCTTGAATAATACGAATTTCAACTGCATGGTCCCCTTAGCTACAGATTTTTTTCAATAAATAGAGTACAATACTGCAAATGTATTTCCTTTTTCTTATAGTTTTCTTAATAACATTTCTTTTCTCTAGCTTACTTCACTGTAAGAATATGGTATACTGAAATACAATAACATAAAAAATATGTGTTCACTGTTTATTGGTAAGGCCCCTGATCACTGGCAAGCTATTAGCAGTTACGTTTATGGAGAGTCAGAATTTATACATGGATTTTCAACTGCTGTGTCAGTGCCCTAACCCCCCATTGCTCAAAGGTCAGCTGTACTACAGAAGAATCATCTAGAAATTGGGATACATGGCATAGTGGTTTCCTATTGCTTCTCGGTTCCCTTTCCTTGGTCCTTTTGATGGGCTTCTCTCCCTTTTTATGACCTCAGATGTTGGCATACCCCAGGGCTCCATCTTTGGATCTCTTTATTTCTTTATTTTACTAGCTCTCTAGGTGATGTCGTTTAATCCTGTGGTTCTGCGCACCACATGTGCTCCCAGGAGTCAAGGCTGTGTCTCCAGCCTAAGCTCTTCTCCAAACTCCAGACCAGTACGGGTAGCTGCCTCTTCAGAACATCTACCACGTGTAACAGCAGCTTGTCTGACACAGAAATCTTGGGGCACCTGGGTGGTTCAGTCGGTCAAGCATCTGCCTTTGGCTCAGGTCACAATCCCAGGGTCCTGGAATCGAGTCCCATGTTGGGCTCCTTGCTCAGCAGGGAGCCTGCTTCTCCCTCTTCCTCTGCCCCTCCCTCTACTTGTGCTCTCTCGAAATCTCTCTCCAAATAAATAAGTAAAATCCTTAAAAAATAAAAAATAAAACAGAAATCTTGGTCTCTTCTTTGCCCCGTCTTTCCCTCCTTAGCAAATGGCACCGTCATTCCTTTATATACCAAGGCCAGAAACCCAGACCTGAGATGGCAGCTCTCAGTAGCTTGGACATGACCACTCAGCATCCTGTCGGCTCTTCCACCCCTCACTGTAAATAACACGCTGCGCAGACCCCCCTCTCACTACGCAGCTGCTCCCTGTCGGCTCCTGCCACAGTGGTGCCTGGTCTAGAAGGTGGCCTTGCCTCCCATCTTACTTCTCTGCTTCCACACTCACTGCCATAGTCAGGCCCCCCGCACAGCAGCCATGGGGCTCTTCAGGACACAAAGCACATCATGTCCTTCTCCAGCTCAGATCTCGCTAATGCTTTTATCACATTCTGAAGAAAATCTTTGCCCTGGCCTTCAAGACCGTATGTGATCTGGCTACAGCCTATTTCTCCAAATTTTTATTTCCTGGAACCTTTATTTCCCCCTCCCCCCGCCCCCACATGGTTCACTCTGCCTTTTTGCTACTGTTTGAACACAAGCCTATTCCCACTTTAGGGCTTTGCTTGAGCTGGTTCTCTGCCCCCGGGGTGCCCTTCCCAATGTTCTCCTCTCCCCTGAGTCACCCATTTACTAGAACTGTTATTTGTTCCTTGCCTTGCCTTGCCTCCCCTCTCAGAAATACCTGCCCACTCCTTCCCTCCCCCATCTTCTCAGTCTGCTGTGTTTTTCTTCAGAGAATTTACCACTACCTGGCATCATATATTTGTTTGTTTGCTGTCTGCCTTCCCGACTGAAATGTAAGCTTCCTGAAGGTGGGACTTGATGTGGGTCACAGCTCTATCCCCAACTTCAAGAACAGAGTACAGCCCATAGTAGATGTTCAGTAAACATTTATGGCAGGATTAAATACAGGATTAGAGTCATACATGTACACTACTTTTCGACCTACTTCACTCCCACATCTTCTCTGGAGCTAATCACTGTTAATAGCTTGGTGACTAACTTCCTGGGCTTAAAAACAACGCATTTATGAATGCAGACACACATCCAGTTTTTTTTAATGGAATGCAAACTGTTCCATACCTTTATTTTCGCTCAGTAATTTACTTCAGAATTTTTTCCATTTTAGTTTATTTTTTCATGTAATCTATGTATTTATATAGGTCTTTTTAGTGCTTACATTGTAGTTCATACTATAGATACATAATTTATTTAATCATTTTCCTGTTGATATGTGGGTTGTTTTCCCTGTTTCCTTATTATAATCAAGGCTGCAGTGAATATGCTTGTCCTTAAATCTTGGTGCATATGGGAAAATTGGTCTCAAATTATAGAACCGCCTGGATCAGTACTTGAGAGGTATTGCTTAATTTGTCCTTCTAAAACATTATACTGATTTACAATCTCGCCAACAATATATGAGGGCCCATTTCCCCATATCCTGGCCAACACCAGGTATTACCCCACATCCCAAATATTTTTTAATGTTGGGGGAAAAAAGTTTTACTCTCTTACAAAAGAGAAAGCCTAAACTCTGGTGATTGAAAATCTTACAGGCCGGTAGATAACCAGCCACTTCCTGGTAAGCTCCTAAGCTTCTGGATTCTAGGTTAGCCTGTTTCGTAAAGATAGTTCCTTTTAAAAAGAAATGTCAGAATTAAAGGAATAAAGTGATTCAAGATGAGAAGTACGTTGTACCTGTAAAAAAACTTTCAGATACTGTTTTCACGAGAAGACATATTTCATAATGTGTCCTGGGAGATCCAAAACCACAGGCCCAGGTTTCCTCATTTTCTTGCTGTAATTCATTCCTGGATGATTTTTCCCCCCTGAGAAAGAATCCACAGCACAAAACCTCAAATGTTGGCATTGGCTGGAGAGTTAATGAAAGACATAGCCATTGGTGATTTACTATTTAACAAGTCTGTGGTTTGTACTGGGCCTTATGAGAAGGACTCAAAGAACAAGAGCAGTTATCCTTTTTAATAACTATGACTGGGGCCCAAAACAGAAGCACAGGCATGACTACGAAGACAGATGCCAACCCAGGGGAGGGAGGTACAGCCCAAGTAGCACCCGGGTGTTTCTGTGACTTGGGTTGGTTTTAATCCAGAGCTAGTGGGATCGTTGGTTAGCTCACAGGCTTGCCTTTGCCCTGGTAGTGAGCTGCCAGGGCTGGGATGGGTCCCAAACGGCAACCCCTGAGTCTTCTCTATCTTTCATCAGGTGTCAAGATGGGCTTGGGATGAGAGGCACTTTTATGGCATCAGTATATTAGGGTTTGAAGAATTCCTTAAAATTACCTGCTTTTATTCGCTATATAGATGGCAAGACTGAGGCCCAGTGAGATAAAATGACTTAGATGGGTAAGGATCATCATGTTTTAAGCACGATCCTATTGAATAATGAAAAAGAAGAGCTCTTGTACTTGAACTTTAAAGACATAACAGATTCTTGGTGGAATGGTACTTCTGCCTAGAAATTCCTAAGGCAGGAGTGGCACATAACTGGCCTCCGTGCCACCATACACCCCCGCAAATGCCCACAGCAGATGTCGGCAGTCAACCCCAGCTCTCTTTCCTCAACCAAGCCCTGACCCAGCCGGACAATCCTCCTTCACACAGCGCTGGAGGCAGCAGGTCAGAAAGGATCTGAGTTTTCATGTGAGTTAAAATCTGTTTCTGTTTGCACCTCCCCTCTAATGATTGGTGTATCCCTGTGATTCCTGATGTGATAAGACCTCTGGACATTAAGCCAGAAGAACGTGGTTTGACTGCTGGATTTTCTTGCTCCTGGCTCTGTGATCTTGGGCAAGTCACTTAGCCTTTCATTCAGTCTTGTCTCTGAAATGAAGAAGTTGAATTAAATCACCTTTAAGCTTCCTTCCAGCTCTGAAAAATGTCATGATTCAATGTCTAGAGACCTCTCAGGAGGAATTCATAGTTGCAACTATGTATTTTTATAAAGACCCAGGGGGATTTTAGGCAGTTTGTATATTACAAAGCTATTCTGTATCCTTCCTTATGTGTTTGTAGCTTTTTCTGATGACTTTTTGAGCTTTTTCTTTTCATTAGCTCAGACCATTGACCTATATCTCTGAAACCAGAATTTAGGGGTTTCAAGGAGAGGAGGCGGGGACATGCCCGCTCAAAACCAGACGAATTGCAGGAACCTCCTCTTACCTTCGGGGAACTTAAATGTTCTTACACCCCAGACTGAGCAACGCTCACCTGCCCGCCCCCAAGCAGTTCTAGGTCCTCTTCCCCTTCTTCCATTCTACCGCCTTATGATCAGGAGGCCCTACCCGCAGACGGGCGTGGGCCAGTGGTCCTCTGAGGGGCCCTGTCTCTCTTCCACCCCGGCTCCTTTCATGACCTGGCGCTCTATTTGTCTTCCAGGCCCTGCTTCCCTTCGGGCATACCCTCTCCTCTCAGTGATCACCCGGCAGCCCGCGGTCATCTCCCACCTGGTCCCCGCCCCCCCGGGAGCTGCCCAGGCCTTGTCCTGCCACCCGGCCTCCGAGGCCTCTTCCAATGAGGCCCCAGGGGGTGAGGCTTTGGGCAGCAGCGAGTCGGAGACGGAGCAGCCCACGCCGAGGCAGAAGAAGCCCCGCCGGAGCCGTACCATCTTCACCGAGCTGCAGCTCATGGGCCTGGAGAAGAAGTTCCAGAAGCAGAAGTACTTGTCCACCCCGGACAGGTGAGAACCCGGGGAAGGGACTGTCCATGGGGAAGGCCTTCGGGAAGGGGTGACACCTTTTGCTCTCGGTCCGGGATGGAGAGCCACAGGGACTCCTTTAGAGAGAGGGTCAAGGACTGTTTTAGGTTCTACACGATGGCAGGAGTCTCACCCTTGGCGCACGTCACAGCCTGTTCGACAGCACCCAGCCCACTGGTGCTCATCATCCTTAAGCCCCAGCTGTATCCCCATATTTGACTTAACTACTCCAGTGTGAGAATCAAAGTCAAGTTTAGTGAATAGGTTGCCCAGGCTCTGAGCTGGCAAACAGGTTTGGTTTTTAAAGCCGCTTACACGTAGGCTTAGCCGCAGTGGGGTTAGCTGTGGGATGGGGACCCGGGACCTTCTCAGGCTTCTCCCCACCCTGCAATTCCCAGCTGACTCAGGCTGCAGGCCTGGCCCTTGACTGGGAAGGCCTGGGCGGATTTGGTTCAGGAGCCGCTAGATGTTGGGGTAGATTTGATGGATATTAAGTCAGAACCACTTGGCTAAGAGACGAGCAGGACCCAGATGTGGGTTCCTTCTTTAAACCCTTTTGAAATCCAGGTGAGGGGACTGTGACCCCTGATTTACTCAAAGACCTTCATCTCTCACCTCCTTTCTTTAATTTAGTATCTTAACTGTAGAATATGTAAGAATGTATGTTTTACCTTATTCTTTCAAACTCACTCAGGCGCTCTGGAGAGGGCTGAGCTAATATGTGATCCTCTTTACTGGGAGGATTTTCCAGGTCCTTTTTCTGTTCTTTTGCTCACTTCCTTGTCTGTATTAGGTTTGATCCTAGTCCTATTGAAGAGAAAGGGAAGGAAACTGTCATGCATCTCTTAAGCTAGTTAGTAGCTATTTGACACAAATTTAAGTGAGAAAGGTGTGTACAAATCCCTCACTAAAGAGCATCTGGCTACCGATTCACTTAATCGAGCCCCCATCAGCTGGGTGCTGGGCGTTTGCTGGGGGCCGGGCATTGTGTCCGAGTGTGCATCCAGAAAGTAGGAGAAAAGAGTTCTGCTGTGCAGGAGATGCTAGGGGAGGGCAGGACAACAAGTACCCACGACCCAAGGCACGGGTCCTGGTGCCGGTATGTTACCAAGGGCTGGAGGAGCCCAGAGACATCGTGGAGTATGTGAGAGATGGGGTTCAGGAAGGCATCTCAGAGGAGGCAACATTTCAGAAGAGCTTTGACTCTTATGGCCCAGAGGGAATGGCCCACAGGGTCACTGAGGCACGGCTCGCTGGGCACGCTGAGGGAACTGCAGGCTCCCGACAGTGCAAATGGGAGTGTGGCAGGAGAGGAGGCCAGAGGTGGGAAGGCTCATGTGCCTGGTTAAAGACTGCTGATTTAGATTTCATTGGCAGCCTCTAAGAGTGGGGAGGGATGTGGCCAGATTTACCTTTTAGACTCCTTGTCCTGGTGGCATCCTCAGTGTCTGATCTGAGATGGAAGTGATGGAGCAGGGGAGTGGGAGGAAGCCCAGGGATAGTCCCTGAAGACCTGAATTAAGGCGGTGACAGTGGGCACCGAGCAAAGGGAATAGATTGAAGAACAGTTTTGAAGGTGGCATGGCCAGGCTTGACACCGGCATGGGGAAGGGAAGAGAGAGCTGGGAAGCCTGTTCCTCCTGGGTTGGGTCACCGCATAGACAGGGATACAACGACCGAAGTTGCACGGCAGAGGACAAAATGGGTTTGGTGGGGGAAGGTGGGAGTCCTGTTGGGACGTGAGCCTCTGGGGAAGGCTTTGGCCACACAGTGGAGACACGGCTGTGAATTGGGGAGTGACAGAAGGGATGCCCAGTTATCAGCTGGTGTTTTGGTGGCCCCAGCAGGTAAAGGAGGGCCTCAGGGAGCTGGGCAGCCAGTGGAGGTGGGCGCCATTGTTTATGACTTGTGTGGTAGTAACACCCAAAGGGCTTCAACAAGCATGGGTAAAACGTTTGGCTTATTTTCTGGAAGTCAGAGAATGTTTTAACAGAACTGTACGTTCCTCATCAAGCTCCTGGGACTTCCTGATACCTGCTCAGGCACCTCTCAGGTGACCTACGCAGGACTGATTCACTTGCCTGGGGAGAAGGACACCATCTGGCTGGCATAGGAGCTGCCGCCTTCACCCGCCCTCTCCCGTGTTCCTCACCTCCCTACGTGACCAGGGCCATGAGCACTCCCTCCTCCCACAGCTTTCTCCCTCTTCCCTTTTGTTTGTTTCTCCAGTTTCCTAGGTGACCCCATTTGAGCGAATACACAGGGAAGTGAGAATTTGTAACGGTGGCAGGTAATGAGAGAAAGCCGATGACAGTGAAGTGCCTTTCTGTAGCCAGAGTGAGTCAGGGGTGCATTTTTCCCAAGTGAGCTAACACCAGTTGCTAATGCGGAGCCGTGAAGTGAGCCTGCCATTGACTCATGCACCTGATGGCCTCAGGTGAACCGGGCTGCCAGGCGCGGTGGGAGCCGGGGAGACCAGAAGCCTGTGGGACAACCCCCTGGAGTTTTGGTTCCTAATGAACGGCTGCTTGGGAAGCAATGCTTCATTAGTGGGGAGGGCTGAGTGCTCTCAGCACAGGGAATTTACTAGCTTCGGTCTGTTAATCACTTTCAATAAAACTGTTAGCTTCCAGTCGCCCTTTCCCTGGGACAACCGGAGATATGTGAATTGCCGATGTGAGACAGGTTCTGAGGTTTTCGGGGAAGGAAGACTGTTTTTATTATTGGAGATTGTAATCGTGCCCTCTGGTCAGAGCAGGGGAGCTGGGCAGCTGCAGTGCCAGCAAGGGGCACCTGGAACCTTCATTGCCAATACCCGCTGGTCTTGCTCACGGTCAGATGTTGGGGAAGGAAAGTTGTGGCCGAGAACGCGTTCTCGGGCATCCCCGTGGCTCAGGCTTGTGGGTGGGAAGGTTTGTGTGACAGGAGGATCCTCAGAGCCACAGACTGTAATCTTCAGAAACCTTGGACTTTGAAAGTGGTGACCATCACTCCCTGTAGCAAGGGTGCTTGGCCCAGGTTGTCACTCTAGAAGTCACAGGGAGACCCCTCATGTTAGCTCAAGGAGGGGGTCCTTCCTGTTGGTGCTCAGGTAGTAGACTCGGGGTTCTTTTCAACATTGGTCCATAGTTGTAGTCTTGAGGATTGAGTTTGGAAACCTGGCTCTCTTTCACATTCAATATACTCCAGTTGGGTTGTTTGCATTTTCTCTTCAAAAGCTTTGAGCAAGAGCTTCCCTTGGATAAATCGAACTTGTGTAAAAACATGGTGGGTGGAGGGGAGCCTCATACAGGAGAAGGCAGACAAGCCAGACTTAAGTAGGTTCACGTCATAGCTGCACCTCTCACTCTAGGATCATCTCCCAGGGCTCAGCAAAGTTTTTCTTGTATGGGACCAGAAAGAAAGTCATTTCAGTCTCTGTCACAGCTGCTCGCCTCCAAGCCTGGAGCAGGAAAGCAGCCATGGACATAGGCAGACAAATGCGTGTCCATATGCCAATAAAAACTTTATTTACAAAAACAGGCAGCAGACAGGATTTGACCGTGGTTACCGAGAGATTCTAATCTTTCCAAACTTCAGATCTCTCATCCGTAAAATGGGAATAATTATACCTACTTCACAGCATCGTAGAAAGGAATAAATAAGACAGCATGGGTTGTTGGGGGCTGAGCTAGGGGCTGGGATCCCACCGCAGTTCCCTGGAAAGGGTTGCTGGATCTTTGGAAGTAGCTCCCAACCTCACACTTCCCAGGAATGGCTTTGACATTCAGGGATTCACAGAAGGCTACAGAGAAATGCAGAACCATGGTTATCGATCGAATGGGAAGCAGGAGGGGTTACAGATTGAATGTGTCTTCTGGAACCCAAATTTTAATAGTTCAGGGCAGCTACGATGAATGAATCTATCAGAAAGTATTTTTGAGCCCTTGGTCTGGACTGAGTACCTGATAGGCACATCTGTGGACAGAAAAGAGGCCCTTGCTGTTGAATCAGGGAGACAGAAAGTACTTGTGGGAAACAGGGAACCCTTGACAATGTGGAGCGCCCCCAGGTGATGGCTGACTGGTGGGAAGGTCCAGAGGGCAGAAGCTGTGGGAGGTGTCGTGGGGGTGGGATGGTCCCCCTGCAGGAGGGGGGCTTGTGCTGCATCTGGGTTAATGAGGATTTTGACAAGGATGACAGGTCTTTACTTTTCCTTTCCAGTTTGGATTTGGGGACAGCGTCCTCATTTTATATGGGATCCACGTAAAGACTCCGTCAGGTCAGAAAGAGAACTTTGTAATCAAGGCTGAGAAATCCTTTTCAGGTCCAGAGCAGACAGTGGATGTTTCCAGGACGATGGCCCCAGGTGCCCTTGGGTTGTAGGCATCCATTTCTCAGGTTCCCAGAGTTTCATCCATGAGATACTTGGAAGGAAAGTAAAGCTTTTTGGGGAAGTACTGCTTCAATGGGGGACGTCCACACTCTGATAGCGGTGCTTGGAGCTAGTCCGCGGGACACCATCCCTTCTGCCCCTTTCCTCCTTCCTCATCCTTCCTTTGCATCTCACACCTTCTAGGTTGGACTTGGCCCAGTCTCTGGGACTCACTCAACTGCAGGTGAAGACTTGGTATCAGAACCGCAGAATGAAGTGGAAGAAAATGGTAAGGAAGAGAGTGAGTCTCACCGCGTGCCCACCATGATGGGGAAAATTCTTACCACAGAGCTGGGAAGAAGACAGGAGGGACCACTGGTGGTTTGGGTGTTGGAGAGTGGAAGGCCTTTTATGATGCTGGCTGGGAGGGAGGCCGTTGGAACGGTCAGATAAGCCATTCCTTCTGACCTGGATTTCCTGACCAGAAGGATATTCCTTTCCATAGTTTCCTTGGAAATAAAAGAAAGCTCACAAGCTTCTCAGTTGCTAGTTTTCACCCCACCTGCTGGCCTTTTCAAAGAACTTCCTTCCCCCTCCCACCAGGTGCTAAGATTAGAAGTCAGGACTCTTTGTTTATGATGACATATAGGGCACATCTGTTCCTGGGCTACATGGGCTGAAATGTAGGCATTGTCAGGCTTCAGTGGGTATCAGAGGAACCTGGATTGCAGGTACAAATACAGAAGTCGAGGCTCTTCCCAGATCCTGAGTGCAGAGGTCTGTGACAGGGCTGGGGGTTCACGTGATCGCAAGCTCCCAGGTTCCCCTGGTGGTTTCCCTAACGTTGTTTTATTACCTTGCTAATCAAGCATTCCATCTTTGGTTTCTAAATGGACCTATTAGCATAAACACCCCTTGCTAAAAACAAACAAACAAAAACACCAAATAGACATCTCCATATTTTAAAGGATTCAGCTTCATCATAGTTCACTTTTTCTTAAAAAAGAGCAACTATGAAAAATCTGTTAAATCTGGATTTTCCAAAGTGGTTGCGTGTTTCATTGCTAGTTCTGTAAACCACAAGGGAAAAGGTCAAAGCCCAGAGACAAGAGGTGAGCTGGGACGAGAGGGTGGGAAGCAGCCTGTTTTCTGGAAAGACCAGGTACAACCATGGCCTGTGACGTGGGCCTTCATCACACCCTCACTGAAACTTACTGGCCCTTTCTCCTCTGGTGCGGACCAGGTGGTCCAGACCTGCGTGGACGACACTCTAATTTGCTAACCCATCTGGCCACAAGCCATCTTTCCTGGTGTTCAAGAGCTAGAATATGATGGGTTTTTTTTTTTACAGTTACTAAAACTGAGGTCCTTCTCTGGCCCCTAGTTTTCGGGGAAACAGGTGAGTCAATAGCTATTTTTAATAGCTACTAGATACGGAGACATTTTCTCAATTTTGTGCTTTTGTCTAATAATTTTTTTCTGAAAACATTAGTCCTTGCTGTCATCTGAGAAAAAGAAATACATTGTAAATTAATTCTTAACAGGAAAAAAAGCCAGCCAGGCAGCATTTATTATATTCCTGGAAGGGAATTCCTGGGCAAATCTCATCATTTCCTCTGGGGGGACCTGAGCCTGCCAGGGAAGGATGTTCAGGGGGAGGCGGCATGGCCCCCGGAGAGCTTGCAAAGAGAGGCCAAGATGTCAGTACAAACACACATATCCTGAATGACTCCACTTGTGTGTCTTCACATCTCTTATGAACCATGCCTTATCCTAGGCACGGTAGGAAGTAATGAAATAAGATGTAAGCCTGCCTTCATGGCATTTGTGACCCCATTGGAGAGTCAAGATCCAGAAAGCATCCAGGGAGCATGTGATGGTGAATTAGAATTCTTGTAGGTATATGAACCAGAAGTGTTCAGGGGTTGGGTATTTGAGAAGGGTGTAAGGAAAAGCTGAAGGATAAATGGGATTTGGTGAAATATGTTGTTCCAAAACCTTAAGAATGCTACAGGTACATGAGGATGATGGCTGAGGGGCACCTGGGTGGCTCAATGGGTCAAGCCTCTGCCTTCCGCTAAGGTCGTGATCTTGGGGTCCTGGGGTTGAGCCCCGCATGGGGCTCCTTTCTCAGCGGGGAGCCTGCTTCTCTTCTGCCTGCCTCTCTGCCTGCTTGTGTGTGCGCTCGCACGTGTACGCTCTTGCTCTCTTTCTCCATGACAAATAAATAAAATCTAGGGGGGAAAAAAAAGAAAGAAAGAAAGAAGAAAATAATGACGGAAACCTCCCGGGGAACTGATCTCGGAAAGAACCAGATCTGGGAGTTAGAAACTCTGGGCCGAGTTCCCATGCCTGTCCCTCCCCGGCTGATTTCGGGCAAGTCCGCCACCCACCTCCTTCCTCGTCAATCATCATCATCGAAATCAATGTCTCCTGAGTGGCAGAGGCATTGTTGAAATCAGTTATCAGCGATCTCTTCATGAGTCAGACGATTAAGGAATTGACAGCCTGCCATCCCCGCCAGCTCCGCCCGCTGCCCGTGGGACGAGCGTGTGCCTTTGCCTCTGACGTCACCTGTTGTTCACCAGCCACTGGGCTGCTGGCACAAGTGCGAGCTGGTTAGTGAGGGGGTCAGCCCTGTCACCAAAAGCAAAATGGAAGTCACTCAGCAGATTTAACCTCAGAGAGCATTCCACGGGCCAGCTGAATCCAGGTCCCTTTAGGAGAGGCAGGAGTGCCAAGCGCTGTGTCCGCTCTAGCAGTTAAATGTTGAGCGTAGGAATGGAGCACCGGGGCAACGGAGATGCCAAAATAAGTCACGAACATGTCCATTTCAAAATAAAATGAGGAAAGAGTACCCCGTCAGGTGGGAGGGGACTGACCTGTGAAACTAGTAATTATTCAGAGGGATCAGGTCCACAGTCCACAAACTTTACTGGGTTTGAAATCAGGATAGAGAAAGGGAGGGCATCAGGGAAGAGGTGTCGTCTAAAATGGTTTTAGCAGACAAATAGAAGAGGGCCAGGCAAAGGTGGGGAGGGTGTCACGGTCACAAGGAAGGAGCCAGAGCACCCGGGGCTCTTTGAACGACTTCAGAATGGCCAGAGCTACAAAGGGGAGGGTGGTAGTTCCATTGCGGGTCTGAATTCTGACTCCCCCTCAACAGCGAGGCATTGTTGGGATCCAGATTGCCTCATATGTTTTCCTGGTAGAACTCTTTCAAGGCTATCTCTTCAAGTACTGGGAGGAAAAGAAAAAGCTAATTGGGTAATAAAGATGTCTCAAGGCTAGTCACCTAATTGGAACTGGAAAAAGATTAGCACTCGGTTCTCAAGAGTTACTCACAGGGCGGCCAAGGAGAGCGCTGCCAGAGGCCAGATAGCATCTCAGACTAGTTCCTACCGGTCAGCATTGGTAACTTCTAGCGGGTTGGGTAAATTTCATCTAGCACACGAGATGGGACGCTCACCCTCTATTCCATTTCTGTTTGGCTCGAGTTCCAGGAGGACCCAGAGTTTTGCAACGGGCCAAAAGTGCCTCATCATTCAGGGATCTCTCTCAGCTCTAAAACCCAGTTCAGTGAGAGGATCCGAATGGACACCAGCCTCCTGCCCTGGTCACAGGATTGGGTGGGCCACAGAGCAGATGCCGTCCTCATCTTGGGGCGCTGCATATCTCCAGATAGTTAACAATTCCGTGAAATGGCTACTCTCTATGTGATCTTGAGCAGGTTCCTTAACCTCTGGGGTCCTGTTTTCCCGTTAGTAAAATGCCTCATACATAAACACCTTATAGGGCTGTGGTGCTAAATAAGCTCATACCTGTGAGCGCTTTCTAGCAGGGCTTCCTGCATAGAACGCAGCTGAGAAGTGTTAACCACCATCCTCCTCTTCCTCCTCCTCCTTTATTATTATTATTATTTACTTAGCCATGTAATTCACATCTTCAGAGAATCCAGTTGGGGAGGCCAGAGAACATATAAGCAGAAACTGAATTCTACAGGTTTCTGGGGCCCCGAAACTGTCTTCTGGATGAGAACCATGCTGGCTGTCCTTTCTCGCTGGGCCTGCTCCGGCTCAGTGCTCTAGCATGTGGGGCATGGCGTCTTCCGGCAGGGAAAGGCTGTTGAGCAGGGTGCAGGAAAAAGATTTGTGCCAGGGAATCCCAACTTCTCAGCTTCATGGAAATAGCCATCAGTTGATCTGACTCTCCCTGCTCCAGAGAGCCGCAGATGAAGACAGAAAAAGGTGCAGAAAGCACCCCTGGGGAAGGCGCCCGTGACCCAGGGTCTGGCGGGAGAGTGGGAAACTGCAGAGCGGTATTAGAATCAGAAACCACAGAGGCACATTTGACATATCCCTCGCTCATTATGCACAATGAGATATTGGTAAGAGCGTTAGAGTCAAGTGGGCAGGGCTGCTGTGTTCAAATCCCAGCCCTGCCCTTGGCTTGCTCTTGGCCCATGGCAGATTACTGTGCCTGCTCAGTTTCCTGTCTGAGTAATGGGGGAGATAGAGGGCCCCTCCCTGCGCTCATGGTCCGTGCTCTGCCATCTAACTGCATGTCTCCCACCCAAGTGCCTTGGAAAGGAAACAGGCCTGTCCTGACATCTTCAGCCACAACATATTTGAATATCTAGTTGAAGGGTTTTGGGGGGGGTGAGGGGAGCTGCGGCTAGCAGCAAACACGACTAATGGAGGTATATGGTGTCTAGCTGTTTCTCAAAGAGGCATGTGACCTCGGGTGCGGTGTGTTGTCTGGACTCCCCCGACCAAGGGGACTAAATTGGCTTTAGGAATAATTGGGCAGAAGGGACCCCGGGGAGGAGGGCCACAGGGTGCATGAGAACGAACAGCTCCTGGCATGGGGCGGTTATGAGATAATTGCTTGTCTCAGGTGTGCTGGGAGGCAAGGGGCCAGAGGTCGAGTGCGGGAAGCAGCCAAGAGGGTAGTTATCTCCTAATTATTGCTTGCGCTGGAATGTTTTATCCCATTTAGAAAATGGCTTGATTGTTTTGATTTTTTTTTTCCTCTGTGCAGTAGGAAAACAGCCAGGTGGGGTCTATCCAAGCTGTGTGGGTGGTGTTCTCTAATTGCTGGGCTGGACTTTCTTTTGCCAATTAGGTGGCTTCCTTAGACCTGCCCTTTTATAACTTGATTACTATATGGGGCAACTTAATTTTGTATAACCTCTTTCATACCAAGTGGAGCTGCTTTCAACACATAAATTCCATCTTGGCACATCTGGGCACTTTCAACAGCCTGCACTCAGACTGAAATAAAAATCAGATGCTGACTTATGTGAAAAGGAATATAGGGACGCCTTCTCCCCAGAGGTGCATTCTGTCAGCGTCTCTACCTTGTTAGAAGTCCCCTTCCTATTTGTGTGTTTGCTGTGGAAAGTGCAGTGGCTGAGCAGATCCCCAGCTAGAAAGAGGTGTTCATTGAGAGCCTCTGGGTTTCCTCACACCATATACAAAAAATAACTCAAAGTGAACCATAGACCTAAAGGTAAAAGCTAAAACTGTAAAACTCTTAAAAGAAAATTTAGAGTAGTGCTCGCTTCTGCTGCACATATAGTAAAATTGGAACGATACAGAGAAGATTAGCATGGCCCCTGCACAAGGATGACACGCAAATTCGTGAAGCGCTCCATATTTTTTTATGGATCCAGAAAAGACCTCGAATAGCCAGAGGAAAGTTGAAAAAAGAAAATTTAAGAGTAAATATTCACAGCCTTGGATTAGGCAAAATCTCCTGAGCACACCAAAGCCCAAGCAACGAAAGAGAAAATAAATTGAACTTCATCAGAACTAAAAGCCTATATGCTCTGAAGGACATTGCCAAGAGAGGGAAGAGACAACACACGGAACAGGAGAGGGCCTTTGCAAATCTTGTATCTGATGATGGACTTGTATCCTGAATGTGTATAAAAAACCCTTACACCTCGGGGCGCCTGGGTGGTTCAGTGGGTTAAAGCTTCTGCCTTTGGCTTGGGTCATGATCCCAGAGTCCTGGGATCGAGCCCTGAGTCGGGCTCTCTGCTCAGCAAGGGGCCTGCTTCCTCTCTCTCTGCCTGCCTTTCCACCTGCTTGTGCTCTCTGTCAAGTAAATAAATAAAATCTTAAAAAAAAAAAAAAAAGAAACCTTACACCTCAATAATAATGTGACCGAATTTCACATGAGTGAAGGATTTGGATAGACCTCTGTCTCAAGAAAACATATGGTTGGCCCATAAGCACAGGAAAAGATGCTCCTCTTCATCAGTCCTCAGGGAAATGTAACTCACAAGCATGGGTACCATGGCCTTCCCTCTGGCGTGGCTGGAATCAGAAAGACATACCATCACATACTGGTGAGGATATGGAGAATTGGATCCCTCGTAGACTGCTGATTGGAACATGGTGCAATTGCTTTGGCAAACAGTCCGGAAGGTCCAAAAAACAAAAAACAAAAAAACAGAGTTACCATATGATGCAGCAATCCCAGTTGTACGGATACACCCAAAAGAAGTGAACAGATGTTTCTGTACCCTCTTTACAGCAGCACTGTTCACAACAGCCAAAAGGTAGTAGCAACCTGCGCGTCTCTCCACTGATGAATGGGTAAATGGAATGTGATCTGTTCCCACAATGGCTATTAGTTGGCCATAAAAAGGAATTGAAGTATTGATCTAGGCTACAGCATGGATGACCCTTGAAAGCATCTCATGCTGAGTGAAAAGAAGCCAATGGCAAAGGATGACATATTGTGTAACTCAATTCATATCAAATAGCAAGAACAGGCAAATCTGTAGGGACAAAAGGCAGATGAGTGGTTGCCTAGGGTTGGGGGGGCAGGGCCTGGGGCAAAATACAGGTGACTGTTAATGGGTATGGGGTTTCTTTTGGGGGGTGCTAAGAATGTTCTAAAATTGGATTCTGGGGTGCCTGGGTGGCTCAGTGGGTTAAGCCCCTGCCTTCGGCTCAGGTCATGATCTCAGGGGTCCTGGGATCGAGTCCCGCATCGGGCTCTCTGCTCTGCGGGGAGCCTGCTTCCTCCTCCCTTTCTCTCCGCCTGCCTCTCTGCCTACTTGTGATCTCTCTGTCAAATAAATAAATAAAATCTTTAAAAAATAACAAAATAAAATTGGATTCTGGTGATAGTCGTACAGTTCTGACTATCTAAAAGATCACTTAATTGTCACTAGAAAGTGTATGGTATGTGATTTTTATCTCAATAAAGCTGTTTAAAACAAGAATTTCTGGCTTATTGAGTTGCTGCCTTCATTCTTATAGTTCAGCACCCGGAGGTCCTGTGCTTCTCTTGAAAGAAAGAGGTGTCATCGATTGATAAGTATTTAGTAACTGTGTAGAGTTAGTTGAAAGTGATTTGTCTGGAGCACAAAGCAAGGGAAAGTTGCAGGATTTACCTTCAAGGAACCTCTGTTCAACTGCAGAAGATAAGATTAAGTGGGTTATGTAAGTAGCACAATACATTTCACTCCTAATTATCCGTGCTAATCCAGGTCCTCCTGCAGTGCGTGGCACTAGCTGCCCAGGAAAGCCACAAGGACACCAAGTCAGAGCTCAGAACCAATGGAAGAAGGGACTGTCTGTGATATTCTAAAGTAACATACACATATTTTTAAAGTTCTGTCTTTGTAAGTTACAGTATTCTCGACATCACACCTTGGGACAATAAATGTGCAAGTCCATTGCCATCAGCCAAAGCTGTTTGGCGCGCTGTTACATTTCTTGCTCTGTATCTTTCTTCCCCTCCAGTTGTTGAATGCCTGCTCCCTGCAGCGGCAGAGTGGGAGGAGCAGGCAAGTCAGTGTGCAGGGACAGTGGTTTGTGAAAGGTGCTCTAACAGAGGAAGGGGAAGAGCTCATCTTGCGCCTGGTGGAGGGCCTCTGGCATGGACCTGGGAGGTCAGGGAAGGCTCCCCACAGGAGCACCATCCAAGCTGAGTTCCTCAGGAGAAGAGGGTGGGGAGTCGGGTTCTGCAGAGCAGGAAGAGTTCTTGCTCTCTTGCATACGTTGTATCTGTTGGTCACCCTCGTCATCCCCCTGTGAGAGGAGGTGGGATCATGTCAGTATTGTAGACTAGGAAGCTGAGGCTCAGTCTTTCAGGAACTCTCCCAAAGACGCAGCTGCTAAGGAGCAGAGTAAGAATTCAACTACCGTAGTGATTCGACTTTCGAAACTGGCTGGAACTTACTATTATTCTCTACTCCGTCTTTGAGCCATTCAGTTGTATATCTCTTGTAACATTTTTTCTTACAGAAATACTTACACGTGATCATTGTACCAAAAAAATAGAGACTACAAAAAAGAGAGAGAGAAAGAAAGAAAGAAAAATTAAAAATTCTTCATGATCTTGACACTGAAAACAGGTCATCCGTCCTCCAGATTGGGTTATGCTGGTTTATAACCTGTTTTCCACAAAAGTACGTTAATGATATTTCCCATGTCATTAAACATTCTACACAAATGATTGTAATGTTTATCAAGTATTCTCTCTCTGGGATATGCTATAATTATCTACTCAATCATATAACTAAACTTAAGTATCCTCCCCCCCAATTTTTGCTGTTATAACCAACTTTTTGATGAACGTTTCTACAGATCAGTCTTCATCTCAGTCTTTGATGACTTACTTAGGCTAAATTATGAGAAGTGAAATTTCTTGTCCGAGTATGCACAAGACTTGATTTGAATTCTCAGTTTCCCTTTTGAGAAGGTTATACCAATGCCACTTCCACACTGGAGTATTTATTTTCCTGCTTGCTATAAATATTGGCTTTTTAACTTGTCAACTTGATAGGTACTGCTTTAATATTTTGTTATTTCTTTCCTTACTGTTGAAGTTGGCTTATTTAATGTGTTTGTGATCATTTTATTTAAAGCCAAAATATGCGATACTCACTGAAAGTACATTGAACATTTAAAGAATGGACGTATCTTGGGGCGCCTGGGTGGCTCAGTCAGTTAAGTGTGTTCCTTTGGTCATGATCTTGGGGTCCTGGGGTCAAGCCCCATGTCGGGCTCCCTGATCAGTGGGGAGTCCCTCTGCTAACCTCCCTCTCCTGCTAGCACATGTTCTCTCTCTCTTTCTCTCTTTCAAATAAGTAAATAAAATCCTTTTAAAAGGGGTGCCTGGGTGGCTCAGTTGGTCAAGCGACTGCCTTCAGCTCAGGTCATGATCCCAGGGTCCTGGAATCGAGTCCCGCATCAGGCTCCCTGCTCAATGGGGAGACTGCTTCCCCTCCTCCCATTGCCTACTTGTGCTCTTTCTCCCTCTGTCAAATAAATAAATAAAATCTTTTTAAAAAATCCTCTTTAAAATGTCACTCTAGTGAAGTGTGTAAACGTGGAGATTCACAGACCTGTACCCCTGGGGGGAAAAAAAATATATGTTTATAAAAAATAAAATTATAAAAAAAAAAATTCATAGGGGCACCTGGGTGGCTCAGATGGTTGAATGTCTGACTCTTGGTTTTGGCTCAGGTGGTGATCTCAGGGCCTGGGATCAAGTCCCATGTTGGACTCTGTGCTCAGTGGGGAGTCTCCTTGAGATTTTCTCTCTCTCCCTTCTAAGTTTCCCCCTTCTTGCTCTCTTTCTCCCTCTTTGTCTTTGAAATAAATCAATAAATCTTTTAAAATATAAAAAAAAAGTCACTCTAAAATAATAATAATGACAATAATAAAAAAAAATGAAGATGTCTTTATACTCTAGAGTTGATGGGTTGAAAATACCTTTTGCCAGGCCATCACTGCTGGGAAGGAACCCTATAGACCCTGTTGAGTGGGAAAGTGGAGGGAGGGAGTTATTAGATTTAATGACTGTTTTTTTTCTCCCATGAAGGTTCTTAAAGGTGGACAGGAAGCACCTACAAAACCCAAAGGTCGTCCCAAGAAGAACTCCATCCCCACATCAGAAGAGATTGAAGCTGAAGAGAAAATGCACAGCCAGGCCCAGAGCCAGGAGCGCCTTGCACCCTCCCAGGGACAGGAAGAGCTCTGTGACCCACAGGAATTGGAAGCATGCGATGTCTCTGTAGAGGTGGCAGAGCCCCCCGGCCAGCCCCAGGAGTTGCCAGTAGCCTCTTCGGAACCCCCACCATCAAGCTAAAATAAAAACTCAATTGGGGGAAGGGGAAGATGGGGAGGAATGGAAAGAGGGAAGTCAGGGAGAATAGAGAGAGATACGCTCCCCAAAGCCTGGTAAACTTGGCGAGAAGAGATCCACGTCTCCCAGCCCCCACGGGTCTCAGTGGTTTTCATCACAAGCATTTGATGAAGACCAGCTTGCCTTAGGCCTTTCTCTTCCTGAAAGGCCGTTTTAGCCACGGGATGCCCTTGATGAAGGGAGACAGTGCCTTGGAACTGCCTGCCCCTGCTGGGGCGAGGGCTGCAGGGCTGGGTTACCAGAGCCCACCCCGGGGCTGGCACGGTGGGGGGCTGCCCCGGCTCTCTCCCTCCAGCCCCTGCACAGCCCGTCATCAAAGCAGAGAGATCATGGTGGAGCCCGGGCCGCAAGCCTGGCCTCCTTGCTAACTCAGCACTTATTTCTGTCGTTTTAAAAGAGAATTTAATGTTTTTGGTTGTTTTTTGGGGGTGGGGGCGGGGGCGTGGGGCCAGGCTGGTGAGGGTGGGCAAAAAAGGGTGGGGGAAGCAAGTTCTGAGTTATTAGAATTGTTTCTGAATAAAGTTCGTTTGAAGACCCGTGTGCCTTTGTACCCATTCTAAGTCAGGTGACCCAAGAGCAGAGAAGCCCTGGTTTTCTCGCTTTATTGAGTTGCCCTCCCTGAAGCTGCCAAGCAGATTCTGTTAAGATAACTTCTATTTTTTAATCAAAAATAAATCTTTCAAAAGGATCGGGTGTTTTGTGTCTTCTGGGGAGTATATTTAGCCCTGTCTGGATACGGCTTGTGGTAAGACCCAGAGAGATAGCCCAGCTCCGCAGGCTTTCATTTTGCCCACTATAAAATAGAAGATGGGTCTCTGCCCATCACCCCTCCCACCGCCTTCTGCCAGAGCCGCTCTGCCATCAGCCACTTTCCACCGTGGGCTTCCAGCTTTAAAAACGGCTTCACTCTTTTGAAGAACACATAATAAATGTACATGCTTCCGAAGTCAAACAAAAAGAAGTCTTGCTTCTCCCCGCCCCCAACTCCCGCACCCCCCTCCCCCCCATCCTGCACAGGTAACCATTTTTATGGGTTTCTTGTTTATCCTTATTAAGTATCCATTTGGGTGATGGGCTCCGCAGCTTTTAGCAAAAGAAGATTTGAGAGCTTCTTGGCTAGAGGTGCTCTGCAATTTTAAATTTAAAACGATGTCCCACTTTCAGGAAGACCAGGAAAGAGGGAAGCCCCGGACTCGCTGAAGGAGGAAAACTCTGACCCTTTCTTGTCTGATTGTCGTGCCGGGGGGCCCCTGAGCCCACAGACGGCCTGCGGGGCAGAGCGCCAGGCTTGTTGACTAGCAATTCTTGATCACACGGTAACTCTGCCCAGTTGTGGGCTCCGGAGCCATCTACCCGCTTTCGTAATGGCCGCAACTAGGGAGCAGAACCTGCTGCTGGTTCTGTAAAACAACTCATGTCATTTTTTGGAAAGTCACACAGGGATGACCTGCTTGTTTTCAACCATCAGGCTGCTGGCTTGCCCCCGTTAACACCGCCAATCAGAGTGACTGCGATTTCGACTTGGCTAGGCAGCGCCTCCTTTCCCTTTGCTTTCAAGATCAGCAAAAAGCCAGTCATTTCCCTGCCTCTTGCGAACAAAGGAGCTGAGGATTTGGCCTCTGAGAACCGGTTTGTGCAGACCACACCCAGCTGCAGGTGAGGTTTCTGGAGGTTTCTGAGGCTGTGCACGTGGGGCGCTGCCTCCCGCACCTCGAGCCCACTCCCCCCCCAGGACAGGTTTATGATCTGCCTGCCAAGGGGGGACCCAGTGAGCTGGCGTGTACCCCTGGCCACAGGAAGCAGGTGGGTCTGTGCCAATCGGGGTTCAGTCCTAAGGAACTGCTCTGTCCTGTCCAGCCCCATCCTGGAAAGACTGCATTAGGATGCTGTTTTCCTGTGGTGGTTTTCGGTCTCTTGTCATGGGCTTTCACAACGTCCCCTTCTGAGGGGTCTGACACTGACTGTTGTCACGCACAATTAATCCTGAGCTAGGCTTCCGGGCACTGTTTCTGACTTGTGACCCTGTCCGTGGCCTGTCATCTATAGTGTCTCTAGGGGTTGGAGGTATTTCAGTGCCTGGTCTCAGACCTCCCCTGATCTTTCCTGCGTTCTGGAAGCCCTGAGCTCAAGGTCAACTCCGCTTGGGAGCCCTGGGCTTGTCCTGGGGCCTCAGCTCTGTGTAGCCTTGCTCTGGAACTGCAAGACGGGTCAGGGCTGGGCTGCGGGCATGTGAGTGGGCATCGATTCCACACCAAGCCCTGCTCATCCTTCACCTTCCCTTTTTCCCCTCCAGTCTTCCCATTTACCCTCTACTTCCCGAGACATGTGATGGCACCCAGAAACCCAGCTCCACAGGGTGTCTCTGAGTTGTGACTAGGAGGTGGCATTCAGCGCACGTCTGGAGCGGAGCCGTTCAGGGACCCCAGACCCCAGGGTTTCTCCTGCACCAAGCCCAGTCTGCTCGCTTTCTCAGCTGCTTTCTAGGAGGCCTCTCTCTGGGCCTTCACTCACCTTTGTGGGCCTCACTAAACAAAAGCATTCCCTCCCTTGTCTGACATCCAGGATGGTGACCCCATGAGGGTTCAGGGTCTTACTGTCGGTTCTGGTCACTTGATGATTTCTGATGTTTTCCAGAGGAAGGGAGCAAGCCAAAGCCAACTGCCCAAACAGGAAGCCAACCACTGAGACATCGCCCTCCCACCGCCCTCCCCCCACCCACCGTTTTGTTTGTTTGTTTGTTTGTTTGTAGTGTCTCTGCTCTGAGCATTGGAGAATGCTTTTATGAGCTCTTTGAGCTGATGCCGCCCCATCAGGCTGTGAAATGGGCTATTTCTTCCAGTTTTATAGGAAGCCTGTTAACCGGGGAGAGGTTAATTTGACTCTCCCCAGGTCAGGTAGCTGGTCAGGAGCCATGCTGAGAACCGAGCCCGGGGCAGGTTCCCTGTGGGGACCTTCAAGGTGAGTGCTAGCCTGCTGTCCCTCCTGAGGCTGCAGCGGGATGGGGACATAGGGGGCTTTCAGCAACGGTCTGCCCGGAGAGCATGAGTGCTTTGTCCTAGGCAGGGATCAGGAGGGGATGGGGGCTTTCCAGGCTATAGTAGGTGAGGCCACCAGGAGCCACCGCCTGTGCTCCCACCCCTTGAATCTTCTATCTACCATCTATCTATCTATTTAAAGATTTTATTTATTTATTTGACAGAGAGAGCACAAGCAGGGGGAGCGGCTGAGCAAGGGAGTAGTAGACTCCCTGCAGAGCAGAGAGCCCAATGCGGGACTCTATCCCAGGAACCCAGGGTCATGACCTGAGCTGCAGGCAGCCACTTAACCAACTGAGCCGCCCTGGGGCCCACCCCCACCCCCAAGACAAACATAACCCCCTCAGGCCGCCCCCTGCATCTTCTATGTTCGCAAGGATTCCTGGAGCAAGTTCTAGACCCTCAGTAAGCATCCAAGTGTCTAACAACGGGTCTGTGTTCTCAGTCACTGTACCCAGATTTGCTTCTCCAGAGTCTACGAGGGCTGGTTGAGACCCAACGCTCAGCCCAAGCTTGACTCAGAACAACAACCAAATGGGTCTCTTGCTGGGAGCCTGGAGTCTTCAAACCAGTCTGAACAGATCCATCAGACACCAACCCTCACTAGGCTGCTTTCAGGTTTTTCTCAGAGACGAGTCAGTTATAAAGCTGCCTTAGAGAAGGGGTTGTGGGGACCTCTGTGAGCCCCTCTTCCCTTCCCCAGGCGCTTCGAGTTCCCTGTCCTCCTCACGACCTTTCAACTTGACACCACCCGCCCCACACCCTGGGCTGGGCTGGGCTGGAGCTCTGCTGCTGGAAATGAAACGCTTTCCTCAGTAGGCTGTGCTTTGTCACCCTGGTCACGTGGTGTCCACTCAAGAGAAAAGGAGCAGGGACTCCGCAGGACCAGATTAAAGCGTGTCCCAAGGGCTGCTCCCCCATCTCTCCCTGGCCTGGGTTAGCCACTAGGTCACTGCCTGATCCTCTGGCCATTTTTTGTAGCTGCCGCCTCAGTCTCGCCCTGGACTGTATCTGAAGGTCTGAAGGATCTTTGAAGGGCAGGAAGTATTGGGTTAGAGGGTTGAAATGAGTCTTGTAGGAAAAAAAAAAAAAAGCAAACTTGTTTCTCAGGATTTCTGTGCACTGAGTTGCTTATGTTTGCCTAAAGCTCTGAGGAGCTGCTGTGGCTCCTTGTGTGGACAGGCACCGCCTCAGCCCCTTCACTACTCTCTTCTCCACTGTGTTGCCTTGCATCGCGCCTTCCACGAGAGATCCTCTCTCTTCCAGTCACACTCCGCTCCGAGGGGCTGCCCCCCAGCCTGCTCTGTGCCGCAGAGACAACGTCCTCTCTCCTACCTGCCTTGGCTCCCCTCTCGTTTACCCTTCTCAGCCACATCTTCCTGTTCCTTATTCACCTCACCTCCTCTCCAATCTAACCTGTTAATTCCTCTCCACCTCTTCCTCTTAATGCACCTTTTGTCATTAACACCGTGGGCCTGCCATCTTTCCAAAGAGGCGATGGATTAATTTTGTTTCCCTATTAAATAGAGCCTAAATTCCTTGAGGCTGTTTTTCAGTTCACGGGTTCTGACGTCCTTTTCCGGTGCTCAGAGCTCCGAAGGCCCACGGGTGGGTAATGAGAGGACCTGGATGCTCCTGGTCTCCTGCTGACATCTTTCTTGGAGGCCCAGAGGTTTTGAGTTCTCAGCAGTATGGTGGGTACAGCCCACTGTCATGAAGCCTTGAGGCCCCAAATCATGAAGCAACTCTCCTGGGCATTGGCCATTGTCAGAGCCACACTCTTTGGCTACAGGGCTTGGGGCTGCCAGCACTTTTCAGAGACAAGAGGGAAGGCAGAGCAAAAGATCTTGGTTGTCTGCGGAAACATTCCCGTCACCCAAGGGAAGTAATGCTGGGCCCATTTCCCCAGGGCCAAAGAAGGCAAAGGAGGAAGAGGAGCCCAGACTTGAAGACCCTCATGGCCAAGGACCAATCCTTCCCCACTCCACCCCCTCCATTCTGCTAATTCCTTTTGGAAAAACTGCTGACAGGGTTCTGAAGAAGATGCCCTCAGACGATTTCTCCCCAAGATCACAGGCAGTGTTGCCAGGGGCAGGCTGGGAGGAAGATGATTGCCTCCTGAGACATCTGTCTAAAACGAAAATTAACATCCTGTCTATATCCGAATCATGGTCGGTAGCTGGTGGTGGGTTGGTGAATTTGTTTGACCTGATTCAAGAGGTGATATAAAAGGGCTGGAGGGAGGTGAACTCATCCTCAAGGATGGCTGGGAGGCTGCAGCCCGAAGGTCACAGTGGACCCCAGGGCTCAGCTTTGAGGAATGCAGCAAGTCTAAAACCTTGGGGTGGGCAGGAGCCAGAAACGTCCTTTCCACCCACAGAGGG